TTTTGAACAATCTTGGTAAACATTCAAACACAAACTTCAACAGCAGCCAGTCTCACTGATTGCAAGGAACAGGATGTTTACCTTGTCCCCTTCTCTCCCACCTACCCCCCCTGGAAATGAGTGTCGCTGAGGACAAATATGGCACATAAAAGGTGTCAGGGTGATGAGACCTGATTGTTGCCCACGATGTCCCTAATGAGGCCGATCAAGTTAGTGCAAACATTCATACCCTCATTAGCAAACACATTCCAGGAAAAAAAGCTCATTACATGTACATGTTTGTATCACACACGATTGGTTCCTTGTTAATTAACTCAGTCCAAACACAAAAATTGTCTGCATTTGTAATGATCTTCATGGTGTCACTTCAGGTTCCAGAGTGTATATCTAACTCGAGGGTGTGCCCGAGTGCATATTATAACGTATTCAAAAATCTAAGAGGGCCCAGTACATGCATAATAATGAAAGGAGCATGAGGAAAGTATACCGTTACAGGTATGCCCATACATGTACGGTATNGTCCATACATGTACACTGTACGTGTACTGGTATGTACCAGTTCTAGTACACACTTGTTCCAACACGGGTTATAATATAATGTACATGTACATGTGGATAATGTGGGGTCCAAATCCGTGACGGTGGAAAATCTTTTGTCTAAAATCTTGGTCCCGATTTTCCTAGCTAAAGAAATTGTTTCCTCAATTTGGTGAGGGTGCCCACTAATGCATAATACTGCATCCAATGTTCAATTGATGTACATGTACACGTAGATAATGTGGGGTCCAAATCCGTGATGGTGGAAAATCTTTTGTCTAAAATCTTGGTCCCGATTTTCCTAGCTAAAGAAATTGTTTCCTCAATTTGGTGAGGGTGCCCACTAATGCATAATACTGCATCCAATGTTCAATTGATGTACATGTACACCTTCTCTTTCTTATTCATTCGTGCCATCTCTTCGTCTCCTTTCGGCATCTCAAAACGCTTAGTTTGGATGTTTTTCCTCTAACGCGAAGGACGCTGCAAGGAGCTCACTGTCAGATATATCAGATACAATCGGCTGGTAGCTACAGTTACCTAATTTTACTGTGGTGTGATTTTGTAAGTCTAATGCATCAGCTACCACATCACCAGTGTGAGACTCGTCACTGTCTTGTGACTGAAATACATTCTGTGTTAAGAATAGACCGCCATCACTGTCACTTTCACTCCATGCCATGTTGATACAGAATGAACCTAGCTTAATTGTACAATTGCTTAAATATTGCGATACCTGCATTTAAAAGTTACGTAACGACAAATCCTTTGGGTTTATTTTCTTGCAAACAAAGTCGCTCCATTCATACAAAATAATGGCGAGGCGAAACAATGGGGGGGGACATCATGGATGGAGGTTCAGTCACATAATACCCTTGGTAACGCGACATTTGTGGGTGAGAATGGGCCCTCGGGCATTATCCTTTACGTATCTACATGTATACACTGTCTGTCATGTCTGTGGATGGGTGACATAGTATTTCACAAAGCTGACATGCATGCTCAGGTTCATTGGTCTTTGAAATGCTTTGGGCTATTTTGCAAGACAGAGTGACAGCATGACAGGGACGTTTAAAAATCACGGTAACAGACAAGACATTGCATTCCATAGTATGGGATACAATGTATACGTACACGAGGCAATTAATGTACATGCACCAGTAAAAGAATAATTTTTCAAAGTGGTCCCTTAATCGTGCCGACTTTTATTTTCTATTAAAACACTGACAGACGCTAATTGATGTACATGTACTCAGAACAGGCAGGACTGGATAAAAAATCGACATGTATGAGTACATGTAGATGTGAAAATCATCCAATTTAGTCAGGTACATGTACCTGTATCAGGTCAACATTTAGCCTAACAATCAGAGGAATCTGGGGCTTCCACAGCCCAGTACGTCCTGGTATGGAGCAAGCTTTACTGAAGGCAAACTGGTACATTGTTAGGTTTCCGCATGAAGGAATTACACTTGAACAATTCATTCAAATTTGCATGTGTACATGTATCTGTCTAGACACCTTAATGGCTCATTTTTCTAACATATCCACCACCGGTAGGAATACATTGCACAATGGTGGCTCAGGGCTCATTACAATAACCCTAACACTCCTCAATCCTTCACCTGTTGGAGGACTGAGGACTGTTAGGGTTAAGGCAAAACGATTCAAACAAATTGCCCTGGCCCTCCATTTTCATCATCTTTCTATATTTCAGTGAACCTGCCAGAAATCTGCCACTTGTGAATTGTCATCTCAGTATGTTTATTATCATAAACAGGAACTGCTGTACCGTTGCCACTGTTCTCGAAAATTGCATACATCATGTTAAAAACTTTTTCCTTACAGAATCTGATCAGGGTATAAATTATGGCGCTGTACTAGACACCCCCAAATGAAATCCGTGTGTGTTCCTTGGTAAATGTAGACTGTCTAAGAGTATAATGACACACCAGTACATGTACATGTACGGACTGCAAGTGTAAGTAGATCCAATTAGCTAAGTGCTTGCATGTACATGCACTTGATATCAAGCGCTGCTAATAATTCAAACCCATCAAGCACTCAATGTGTTGCATGATACACGTACAGCAGTGCACATGTATGATCAATAACATACTGTAACCTGTTACGGAGCATGTTACAAAAGCCAAAGTTGCTTCTTGTATAGTACGCTACCACCCCTGCCCCCCTTAACAAAACAGTAACGCTACGGTACTTCTAACCTTATACATACATACATGTACAGTGTACATGTATACTCACAGCAACCTACACAGTGCTGCAGCAGTCTCAACTCAGAAACATAATGATAAGCAACGGAATATTCGCCTGAATGAATCCATAAGATAACTGTCTGTGAAGGGCATAGAATCTTCATGTACCAGTATCAGACATCCTCTGATCTGTAATCTGATGATGGAAGAAACTGCCCCTCTTGTATGAAAGTTAGAAAAAGAACCCAAAAAACAAAAAAAAGACATTGAGAAAAAAAATGTTATGTCTTCAACACAAAATTTATAAACAGTTTATCTTTACTAAAATCGGTCTCTCAGTGGCAACCTCTCTGTGGTACACTGTATTTTAAATTTCTGATTAAAATACCAGGACCAGTAGCATCACTGTAACGTGAAAGTCCACTATGCATGCAGACTACTGGTAAATGTACATGTACATACTGTACATGTACGGGTATGGTACCTGTACATTGTCTACAGCTGAATAGCTGTAGACAATGTACAGGTACCATACCCGTGATCTCCCAGAGGCACAAGAATTTGATTGAGAGGACTCCATCTGTGCCAAGACGGTATGTCAAACTACTGGTAGGGCACATTAAGGGAAGAAGCTCAGGTGAGTTACATGTACACGTAACTGTGCTATTAGTAGAACCTTGCTCTTTTGGAATTGCTATTTATTTTATGGGAACATTCCACAGTGAAATCATGAAATTATATCTGACTGCTCAAATGTCAAAAATTAGTAAATAGATCTTTAAAGTTTAAGTTTATGAGAAATAAAAAAGCTTGTCCCTGAAATTTACAGAAAGACTGACTGGACAATTTAAACAGCCATAGCATCACAAATTTCCACAAAGTCTGAAACTTTACTCCATCTAATTTTTCATCGGTTCCTGCATCTGTAGCTATACCAAATTCCATGTGGTTGTGACATACATGTAGCACATCACATTCAACTGTTGCAGATTTGTAAGAAACCTTAACAAGATGATCCAATTCGATGTCACCGGGAGGAGGTCTGGTGGGTCATTAAACACACGTTGTAAAAACCCTATGGCGATGAGTACCAACATGTACAGTGAGCGGTGATGAGTTTGGAGACCTACCTGGGTCCCGGTTTGGGTGTCCTTCCCGCCTTCAGGTCGTCCAGGATCTCGTTGATGTCTTTGACCTCCAAGTCTTCATAGTAATGATCATTGATTTGGACCATGGGGGCATTGACACAAGCTCCCAGACACTCCACCTCAGTCAGTGTGAACATTTTGTCGGGAGTGGTCTCGCCAACTTTGATACCTTCACATAAGCAAACAGAGGAGACAGAGATACGCATTATGACAGGAACATCTTAACCAAATCAAAGCCTCTAGATATGGTATTTTATAAATTAAAGGTACAATCCCTCATTTATCATTTCAGGGTTTAGTTCCTTTGAGGCTTCAAAATGTGCCCCAAATCATAAGAAAGGTACTACAACTACGGTAACCTTATGAACTTTAAACTCAGCAAATGCTGTGCATTCAGAGAAAAACAATCCAGGATCTCAATTTCAAATCAAATGTTTCACTGTCATGTTTGAACTAAGGCTGTGCCGAATATCCGAATAACCGAATATTCGATCGATCATTGAATATTTGAATGTTATTTTTTGAATTTGAATATTCGAATGTTAAATTAATGAAAAGGAAGGGAGAATTTTCTTTTGCTTTTAATGAGACCAATTGCACTATGGAGGTGCTCCAAGTAAATTTAAATGAAAAGTGACAAAAACCTCACGATTTGAAAAGTACATTTTTCATAAAAAAATTTAAAAGGAATATACATTTTCAACAAGAAAAGAATTACTGTTCGTCTCTTATATCTTGCTAAATCTTGGCTTGAGATACTCATAGACGTGAAAAGCTACATGCGTTATAGTAATTATAATGTACAATTGTGTCTGTTAGTGCAACTGCTTTTGAATATGGTTTGTTCCTCAACAATCTGCTGGTCGGTACGACTGAATATTTGGATATTCGACCGAATTGAAGGTCCTCAGCCCTAATTTGAACTGCACTCAAGTTCAGCGTTTGGGATTGTCTCATTAAGTCAACTGCAGCTATGCGATGTTATGAACCGAACAAACTTTAAGTACAGTCCATAATGTAGCAACTATACACGTGTGTGCACTGTGTAAATACCTGCGTGCTCTGGCAAATAAAAAATAAACTACTAATAGCAATTTCCAAGTTCAGCAATTATAGCAATTAGCAAGTTCAGATTCATTGCTGGAAATGGCTTTCTCTCAATGCTTTCTTCAAAACGACAGCTTCCCTATTAAAAAGAATTATTCCACAGGAAACTCAGTCCGACAATCATCTTTAAACCAACATGCTTTTTTAAATACAAGAAATATACATGAACCAAACAAATTTCCTTTGACAGCAGATAACAAATGGCAATAAAGATTACTGTATACTCCTCCACAGCTTGCTAACAGAGAACTCATTACAAATGTACTAGACGTATACATGTACACACATATGTGGTACAACAACTTATTGCACAGTGTCTTCATATAGTGACTGGCTATGTTTATTTATGAATGACTGTGCACCTGTACTCCACCTGCTGGACAAAATACATGCACCTGTACAGACTGCTATCACACAGCAGTTGTGACAAAACTGAGGGAAAAGGCCCGGACAAAGAGTGCCCACATCATGGACACATCTACTTGACAAAGACTTTTGATGGGGGACACGTGATGCCCTCAATTTCGCTTCCTAACCCCTCTAAGATAAATTTTTAATCAGTATTCAGCCATGAGAGTTGTTTCCCTGACAAAGCCCAAGGCAACAGTGAAATAGTAATGGAGCTGTACGACTGAAGACAGCCGTGACACACAACACCAAAAAGAGGGTTAAAAAGATGCACTCTCGAAAACTTGAGCTCTAAAGAAGAGCCAGTAATTTATATTTCCATGGTTTATATAACTGCATCAATTGATGAAGGGATAAGAAATCCCCTTAGGCAAGAATAAATGTGCATACATGTAAATGCCATCATAGTAGTTCATACACAGCATAAACCATGTACATTGTACATGTCAAACACTGTGATACATGTACATACACATGTATGTACAGTACTGGTACATGTACCTTGCAATTGAAAGTTAACCCAAAATGGGAAAATCATTTCACACTTTTGCTCTTCCCAGAGAATACATTTTCGTTTCACGAAAGGTAAAAAAAAATTCCAAGAGTGGTTAAAACATCTTCGCACCTTTTCACAACAAGTTGGGAAAATATGTTTGCCTTGCGAAATGAGACTTTGAAATATCTGAATGTGAATTCTTTTCACAAAGTTTCCCATCCCCATGAAAAGTGTTACTTTTATGGGAGGTACTGCATGCATTACATGTACATGTACCTCTACAAATGTACATGTATCGGTATATTAACGATAATCTGAAAGAAAGAGAACAATCAAACCTCAGACAAAAGCATTCTTGTATTTTTTCAGTAGATTGTTTTACAAATAAAATTCTACATGTAGGATATGCACTCTCTCAAAAATGAGTTAGCAATTAAGAGAAAATACATGTACATACCAGGTACCCCCCAAAACAAAAAAAAATCAAGGCAAAAAAACTGGACGCATTGATGGAATAGGCCAAAAATATCAACCATTCAAGTTCCCAAGGATAAACCAGTTTGTGGACAGAGGGCAGCAGACAGGAGTTTCAAAACTTCCCTCTACTTACATGTACGTGTACATCTAATAGTCTCCTTCGAGAATTGTCCTTGCCATCAACAAATTAAGTTGGACAATGATATGTTTCTATGGCAACTACGAGTGCCATCTGAACAGACCCTCATCTACATCTTGAATATTGTGCTGCTGAATCTTAATCTCATACAAGATAGATTCAAGTGATGATTTGGAAGGTCGGTCAGTGACTGGCCCTGTAATGACATACAGTACACTGTAACCTGGAGGGAAAATGCAATACGATGACATACATGTACATGGTATTCATGCTTCATTCATATTTCCCCAAAAGGATAATCTCAGGCGGATGTGTTAGCTGTAGTCATTAGTCCTCATTCTGACATGATGAGTGTCGAATGACTGACCCTCCCCCCGAACAAACAAACAAACAAACAAACAAACAAACAAACAAACACCCCAACAAACAAACAAACAAACAAACAAACAAACAAACAAACAAACAAACACCCCCAACACCCCAACAAACAAACAAACACCCCAACAAACAAACAAACAAGCCAACAAAGAACCCCCTTCCAAGAAACCAAAACTTTATGATAAATAAACCAGCCAACAAACAATACACACCTTAGAACGAATAACACCAGACATCCAGAAATCTCCAGATGTACATAAATTGTACATTATACATGTACATGATACACTATAGAGGAACCTCGTCACAAGAGTGATACATCAGAACCTACTCTAGCTGCTTCCAATTCTATACACACATGTAAGCTGTTGCTTGGAAACCAATGATGTGACCGTACATACATACAGTGTACACGTGTCGTGTTCAAGTAAGTGGTTAATTTTCAGTGTCTTCCAAGATTATGGTTCACCAGGAATTTGTAAGCACCTACATGTACGCTTACTTGCGAGAAATTAAATGCCTGAGGCTGACTTCAAGCGGGAGGACATCCCCTGACAATTTCGTGGAGGATGTGTGTGTCATATTGTGGTGTCTATATGTACATATAAGTCCTCAGATTTATTTGCAATCGTCTGGGCCTACTGATGAGTCCAATGAAATCACCAACAAGCACGTGTACGTGAACATGCACTTTTTCAGGACTTTGAAGTAGACAGCATTGATGTACATGTACATGTAGCTAGGACGATTATCTTTGTGACAGACTTCTTCTCATCAGCCTAATGTAAACAAGGATGGCATCATTATGTCTCCCAAGAAAGTCTGTGCAGTACCTGAGCATTAAATCTATCATCAGCTAACACACAATTGGATAAGAAGCAAAGAAAAATTAACACTGTGATATAAACACGTGCCTGTACAGTGTACATATCTGAATGTGTGTTTCCTTGCTATTCGGTCCTTGAATCCTCAATCGCCCTCCTCACTGGAGCACAATGTGGCATGTAGGGCCGATTATTAAAAGCCAGGAATGTCATAAATTTGCATGAGGGTCTGCACCAACGCTTTTAATTTAAAAGTGACACCCGTGCACATTGTTCCTTCATTTGATTAAATATTCACCTTGCCTGCCAACTGTGCACTGTGTGTTTTGTGCTTGAGCTCAAATTGTTAAACCAAGATTTGAGGGTGAGGGGATAATTATTCGTAACGGGAAAGGAAGCCAGACAAAACATACATGTACATGTATCCTACGCTACCATGGTGGAAACAGTTCAAGTGCACTGCCTAGCAATGCTCTAAGACAACTTATGGGGCATATGAAAAGATGAAGCATCCTGCTACGGTAGTTGATGTCAATATTAAACCAGGCACATGTACATGTACATGTACATCGCTGGCCTTTCTCCACATCCATGTACATGTACACACACATACGCAAATCCCACAGTCAAATCATACCATGTGTAATGATACATCTGCAGGCGAGGTAATTAATAAAAACAGTCTCTGAGACACCATGGAGACGCCAGTAATGTGTAATACGTGCACAAAACGTACATGTACAACGTATGTACTCTACCTCCCCATCATGATTGCAAGCTGTGGTGTACTTCAGTACTGTGGCTCTTTAAAAAGATATCAAACAAGTCAGCTGGCAAATAAGCAAAAGCCCAACACTATTTCAAGTGTAATATGTGGGTGGGTACATGTCCCTGTGAGTCGTGAAAAACGGCTTCAAAATGTCCCAAATTTGAGGGGAACAAATGACCCATATAACTTTCAAAACGTTTAAATTTTCCTCCATTTCAAACACTACAATTTTCCAACATCTGCATGTTGGGTCTCATAAATGTATAAATTTTGCACATGGAGGTAAAAACTGCATGTACATACATGTACATAAAGCAATCTGCAAAGCAATTAGTTTGACTGGGTTTTGATTTTGACATTCACATTACATTCAATGGCTTCTGCCTCTGTTTAATTAAAACATCTGCTAAAATGCACAATGTAGCTGGCATTTCCAATCACATGAATTTACTATTCCCCCTATAGTCCATCCTTAATCCTACTTTCCTGGCAATCAACTCAGACTGCAGATGAGGCAATTTAGGGGAAGGAGAAGAGCGACAACAATTCCAGATTGGACGGCTCCATGAGG